TATTAACACGTGAACGGTACTTGCCAAAGGTCATTTTCTTACAATTTCATTTTTCCTCATTAAAAACTGAATTTAGGTCTTTCAATGCTCAAATTCAATGGTCCTAGATCTGTTCGCACATTAGATAGATATGTATCAATCCCCTTCATGGCATTAACTTAATGGTAACAATTGACGTTGTTAATGATGAACACGGCTTTAGTTTTCAAGTTTTTTAGGGCATGTTCTCTTTACCATTTTCAAATCGTTTTCTATTTTCAATTTTCTAAAACAGTGAAAACGCATTCTTTTTTCCATTTTTGAAAACTCGTTTTTGAAAACAAGTTAAAAATTTACAAAGAAAATCCAAAACGACAAATTTGTCATTTTGGGTATTTTCAGTTATAATCAAATCAAAATTTTCAAAATACGTTTTGAGTGTTTTCAAAACAATTTTTCAAAATGTCAAAAATAACACATTTTCAACAATCTCAAAATGAACACTCAAAACACAAAATCCAACATGAATTCAAAACTTAAAACACAAAACTGAAATACAAAGAGAACAACCCCTAAATGTTTTAGCATTTTGTAAAACAGNGTTATCGGTTGTAATCAAGTTAAATTTTTCAAAACGCGTTTTGGATGTTTTCAAAATATTTTTCAAAATGTCAAAAAGAACACATTTTCAACAATCTCAAAATGGACACTCAAAACACAAAACTCAAATACAAAGAGAACATCTCCTTAATTCTTCTCCTAAGTAAATAAAAGTCAACTCTGGTGAATTTTCCGAATGTTTCCCCATTCACATAACGGTGAAGTCACGACGAGAGATAGGATAAAAACTAGATGAAGATGCCATCAACTAACACCAAATAAATATTTAACATGTTTATGAAATGCACCGCCATCTAAAAAGCTTAATAAATCACAAATGCAAACACCGTTTCACTATGAGACAACTGATTCAATATAAAACAAAATCGTTGCACGAAGGAAAAAGTTCAATCCTTAATTCGCATTCTAACAACAATTATATTAGAACTACTCGAATACAGAATGTAAACAATCCGTTACATTTTCCTTTTTATTCTCAATAGCCATGCAGTTTAAATTTGTCCATACAAAAATAGAATGCAACTTTAGAACATGATTGTTGCCTCAATAATTTCATGCACATAAACGAGATTGCAACACCCCGTAACGTAAATAGATTGTGAGAAATATGTAAATCAAAATAAGAATGCATGTTCTAAATGTACAATATAAAATGCACATAATAATTTGTCTTAAGATTGTTGGATAAATAGGTGCATAACTTATATTCTACTAGCAAAAAACTTGCATATTTTATGTTTTATTGATATGCAAATTATCTGAAAGAGTTTTTGACTTACCGAAATCACGATACGTGCGTAACATGAGCAAATAACTAATTACTGAAACATAAAAAAAAATACATAAATTCGAAGGAGATAAAATGAAGAGAAGTGTGCGGTTACAAATCTCTTTAAGAGAGATTATGTCTCCTGATGCTAACATAATCAAATAGACGCCTATTCCCCAAGGTGCAACTCTTCTTCCAAAATGAATACAGTACAAGATTTATTTTATCGAATGAACTAAAGTTTGACTGTACTCTTAAAAATCGAATGATATTGAACATTAAAATATTGAACATTAAAAATTCTAAAATTTGTGAATTGTTTTGACATAATTTGGAAAA